TTACTAAAATATTTATTCTATGGAATCACATTGTAATCAATCAAATCTATGAATAATTACACTTATTTTAAAATAAATATAATGTAACTTATTATCAGTTATGTGTACCATACAAGTTCTGTATAATTTTATGTATACATGTTTAACGTAATTTTGCACATTTTTATATTTCATGTAACATTTTCAATAAGTTAATATAGGTAAAATGCTTTATATATCGATTCTATATTTTTAATTTATAAATATTAATAAATATTTCTTAGTGGTGCATCGCACGTGATTCGTATTAGTTACGGGCCAAAAAATGTGGCTTTTATTGCCGCCGGAAGAAAGCAAAAGATTTTGAATGTTAATTGGTGGGTTTTGACTTTCTCGGTGCGAAACAAAACGTCGTGACAAATTTTGGCGTGAACCTTGCCATATCCGACCAAATTAGTATTCTTCTTCAAGAAAAAGGACCACTTCATTTTATTACTTAAATGTTTTTGAATTACTGTGGATATCAACGTGTTCAACGGTTTGAACAATAGTGCTAAATTAATCTGCACTTGAACTCTATTTTTTTATACAATAAAAGAGGCCGAAGTCTAACGATCAAAAACTCAGCACACGACGTGGGCGAGCCACTCTAACGATATCATAATTCAACCAAGATCTGGTGACGAGGAGATAAGACGCTGATACCCCACTGGTACGCTCGCAGCAAGCGAAGCAAGCTGCATTTTGAAATCTATTTAATGGTTTGGTAATTGTTAATTTGACCACGTTTAGAACAATTAACCATTTTTTTTCACCATTTACCGACTTACTTGCGGTTGGACTAATCCTCAAGTCTTTGTGTTTGTATGCTTAATCATACATCCCATATGATACGATTGAACTATGCTTGATTTTTATTGATATGATATCATGTCAAATTAGTACAACACCCGTGTATTACACGGGTGTTTGCTAATTTTTTCCTTAAAATTTAAAATTAATGAAAAAAAATAGATGAAAATTTAAATATTTTTATAAAAACATATATATATTATAATATTTTTAGTATGA